AGCCATAGCCCTTATGCATCTCCAGTAGTGTTAGCCCGGAAAAAAGACAACTCGCTCAGGATGTGCGTTGATTACAGGATGCTAAATAAAAAGACCATTCGCGACGCCTATGCTCTACCACGAATAGAGGAGATGTTAGACAACCTGGCAGGGTCCAAGTATTTTTCGGTTGTTGACATGAAGAGTGGGTATCATCAAGTGAGCATCGAGGATTCTGACATACCGAAGACGGCGTTCACAGTAGGACCACTAGGATTTTATGAATATGTGAGACTCCCGTTCGGACTTACTAATGCCCCTGGAACGTACCAGCGCCTAATGCAAGACTGTCTTGGAGATCTAAATTGGAAGATATGTGCTATTTTCATAGACGATCTTATTATTTTCAGTAGGACTTATGAAGAACACATCGAAAGACTGACACAGGTATTCACAAAACTCAGGGAGCATGGAATCAAGCTGGCACCAAAAAAATGTGAGTTCTTCCAGGAAAAAGTACGCTATCTAGGCCATATTGTATCTGAAGACGGAATAACCACAGATCCGAAGAAGACGGATAAGGTTGAATCCTGGCCAGTTCCAACCAACGTAGATGAACTAAGGAAGTTTTTGGGTTTTGTGGGCTACTATCGGAGATTCATCAAAGATTTTTCCAAGACAGCAAAGGTTTTGAATGACCTACTGGTTGGAGGACCAACTGTGAAAAAGAGGGGGAGAGCAGTGAAGGAGAAACAGAAGAAAGAGTGGAAATGGGAGGAAGCTCAGAAAGAGGCGTTCCAAAACCTCAAAACATCATTAGTTCAGCCACCAGTACTTGCCTACGCAGATTTTACTCAACCGTTCATCCTACATACAGATGCCAGTGGAGTTGGGCTAGGAGCAGTACTCTACCAGAAGCAGGATGGATTTGAACGAGTCATTGCATATGCGAGTAGGAGCCTAACCAAAGCTGAAAAGAATTATCCAGCTCACAAGCTTGAGTATCTGGCACTGAAATGGGCTGTCACAGATAAATTTCACCAATATCTGTTCAACAACAACTTCACAGTTTTCACGGATAATAATCCTCTCACCTACATCCTGACCACGGCAAAGTTGGACGCCACTGGACACCGTTGGCTTGCTGCCCTATCCAACTACAACTTTTCGATAAAGTATCGTGCTGGAAGGAAAAATATGGATGCAGATGCTTTAAGCAGGATGACTGAAAATGATTACCAGGAAGTGAGCTCAGATGTGATGGAAGCAATCCGAAATAGTGACACTGATGAAGGCTACATCCAAACCGTCAGCATGTCACACCAAGTATCACCAAACATGATGACTTTAACAACTCCCATTGTTAGCCTAGGAGAGTGGGAAAGGAGACAGGGTGAAGACCCATTACTTCGGCAACTCCGCAATGACATCCTGAATGGAAGACCAGCTAGGACAAAAACAGGATCACCAGAAGAAGCTGCATTGTACCGCCATTATGAACACTTCGTTCTTAAGTCTGGTACCCTGTATAGGCGCACAATGGTGGCAGGAGTTGAGATTTTACAACTGGTTTTGCCTGAAGCCTACAGACGTTTGGCGATTGTCGGAGTCCATGACGACCTAGGACATCAGGGAAGAGATCGAACTATAGGTTTAGCTCAAGAAAGGTTCTACTGGCCCAAAATGACGTTTCAGATAGAGGAGTATATACGAAACTGTCCTCGGTGTGTGCGTAGGAAGGCTTTACCATCAACCTGTCCTTTGGTCAACATCAAAACCGGTCAACCGATGGAATTGGTCTGCATGGACTACATGTGTGTGGAAGAGGCGAAAGGAGGCTATGATAGTATATTAGTCATCACTGACCATTTCACCAAATATACCCAAGCAGTGCCAGTTAGGAACACCACAGCAAAAACAACTGCCAAGGCATTATTTGACAACTTTATCGTGCACTATGGGATCCCTCAACGGCTACATAGTGATCAAGGACAGCAGTTCGAGGGAAAAATCATCAAGGAATTGTGCCAGTTGACTGGGATCGAAAAGTCTAGAACAACACCATACCATCCACAAGGGAACGGACAATGTGAACGGTTCAATCGGACTTTGCTGAATATGCTCGGAACTTTGCATCCTGAACAGAAGTCGGACTGGAAATCTTACGTTGCTCCACTCATCCACGCATACAATTGTACAAGACATTCATCAACAGGATATTCACCGTACGAATTGATGTTCGGAAGGAAACCAACCTTAGCTGTTGATGTTATGCTAGGAATTGTGGATAGTACAGAGGCCAAAGGAAACTACAACTCGTATGTTGGATCTCTGAAGGAAAAGCTGGAACACGCATATCTTACAGCATCAGCTTTTAGGGAGGATACGCAGGAACTTCAGCGGAAAAAATGCAACCTAAGAGCCAGGATAAATGTGTTGGAACCAGGGGATTGTGTTTTAGTGAAACGCCTAGTTTTTCCAGAGGGCAGACACAAGCTAGCAGATAAATGGGAGGATAAGCCATATAAGATTTTGAGACAGCCAAACAAGGACATACCGGTTTACGAACTACAAGCGATTGGTGGAAATGGTCGGAAAAGGACATTACACAGGAACCATCTTTTACCCATCAGTACGTTACCGGAAATTTCACCAGATGTCAACACTAGAACAAAACCAGTACCACGACCAAGAACTAGACAACCAAAGGTAATACCAGAACCGGAAGAGTCATCCAGTAGTGAAGAAGATGAGGTGTACTTAGTGGAGGATGCAACCTACTTGCAACCTGCTAGCACCACTGAGGTACACGATGGGAACAAAGGACAAGCTGAGATCGACACCAGTGTTCAAGATGGTGGAAGCAGGCCTGAACCACCAGACTCAGCTGTTTCTGAAGTGTCAGAGGAAAATTCACAGCCAGATGACCCGGAGCCTAGAAGATCGGGAAGAGAAAGAAAACAACCGCTCCGGTATGAAGATTATGTCATGTCACAGCAACCAGCATCTTCGGTACCTTCTACCCTACAGTTGCGTGCTGAACTGGCAAGATCGCTGTTACCACCAGATTTCATGAGTTTGTCACCAGATAGGTTGCAGGTCGTACTAACTATGTTGCCAGGTTTATGCAAGTCCTTGTTTCCGGATGTATTTTAGTTTAGCTGGTGTTGGCGACGGCCAGGTCATATTGTGATCGGATGTCGAATATGGTTAATGTCGGGGACAACATTTGCATTAGGGGGGAAGTATGTGGGAGAGTGATTTTATTGGGGAATATTTTAAAGTCACCAATACTAAGTTTTAAATGTTAGATAATATGTTCCACTTCACTAGCTTTAGCTATCCTGTGTTTCTATCGACTTTCTATCCACTATCTTAAGTTAGAGTGAGTTTCTTCTCACTTTTGGTATCTTGTCTTGGTTTTAACCTTTGAACCTGAGTATATTGTGGTCAGGTGATTTGGTATCCAGGGAATGTTTGGACACTTAGGTAATAGAGTTTGAGGCAATAGGTTGACTATTTTCAGTTCTCCATATTGCAACTTATTTCTGTATAGTCATAGTTTAATTAGCTAGTTTTAGATATTTCATTTCTAATATAGTTTATATAGAAGTTAGATTAAAGTATTCAATAGTTCCAGTGATTGCCAGGTAGGGTATGTATTATATATGGTTTTATGTAGTTTTATCCTAGTTTTCAAAGTCTTGGTCATGTTGGACATATAGTGTCAGATATATTGGATTTTTAGTAAAATGTAAAGTTCCTTGGGTTTAGTAATGGTTTATAGTTAGTATAGTATACATTTCACCACTTTCATTCAAATATACTTTAAAACATCTATTGCATATTCACACATTCATATATTTTATTACAGATACTTCAAAGGTACTTCACCTTTGACAGTCTGTCTAGCCAGCAAAACCCCTCTCTAGGGTAAGCTACTTATTAAGTGTTTAGTTATTTAGATTATTTAGATTGGTATTATTACATACATATACTTTAACTTGTAGCTGTCATACAAGTTAGCAGGATGAAGTTAATTATATAGGCAGTATTTAAGATCGTGTTTAAGTGACTAAGTAAAATGGATTTATAGATAGGCCTATGTAGCATGTATCTAGTATGTATATTTCTACTACTAAAGTTATGATGCTATTATTAATTTGTAATGGGGTATAGATATAGATTTTATCAATTCAACATATGTATTATTATATATATTTAGTCTTATTTATTATGTATTTCAGGGTTTCTGTTATATCTGAATAAACCGTTGAATCGAACCCTTGGTGTGGTTTTTTCTACAACTAGAGAATGGACCCCCCGTAACATTAGCATGACGTCATATGAAATTCCTGGCTTCACAGTTGTCGCAACTTTATCTATATACGGCTTTGCTTGCGACCAAAGCCCTGTATAGGGAAAGTTACGACCACAGATATCCTATAAAGACTAGATAGGCCACAAAGCCAAGTGCGCATCATCAGTAACGTCACAACGCGCCGCCATCTTGAAAGTTGTAGTCTATGTAAACAGGAAGTACTAAGTATACGGGCATAAGCGTAGATTTCATGTATTTTGTTTTTTCGCAATGGCTTCAAAAGGACCCCAATGCTATGCAATAAATTGTACCACGTACAAGAATCCACAGAGCCGAGCGGAAGGCGTCACAAGTAAGTGTATTATAAGTTATTATTAGCCGACAGAGTATTTCATTGAAGTTGAAGTTTGAAGGAGGACCTCACCATCACACAAACCTGCGGATACACTACAGAGACGTTTATAAAAAAAAATAAACAATAGGCCTATATCAAGAGAATGGATCCCGGGGCAAGCCGTAAGCGTCCACTGTGCTGTACAGTCCCGGTACTGTAATGATACAGCAAATTAGGCTTCTCTCAAAATGACACAAACTCACAATAAACAAAAGCTGACCGCCAGACGATCAATGATTGATCATGGCTTTCAGTCAGACTTGGATTTTCTTCTTTTTTTTGTACCAGCAATAATCGAAAATCCTCCATTTTTAGTATAAATGACTCATTTAATGAGCTGACCATCGCATTTTTTAATAAATAATGAAACAGTAAAGAATTGAGGATCTTGACAGCTGTCGCCGAAGGTGAAATTAATTTTCTTTTTTAATTGTCAGGTTTCCAAGTGCTGAAAAAAATCCAGATCTTTTGCGTGTATGGATTCGCAACTGTAAGAGGATGAAACAACCGTCTAAATACAGCCTTGTGTGCAGCAAGCATTTTGAAGATGCTTGTTTTGACCGAACAGGCCAAATAACTCGCCTGAGAGAAGGAGTAGCCCCCACTATTTTCAATCTGCCTCCTCATTTACAGGTATGACTTTGCTGAAATTGGCGCCTCACTCTCTAGATGTTTTATTCCGTGGGTATTATCTGTCATTGTCGATGTGATATTATTTTATTCGCTTTTTATACGCCCACATTTTCATGTGGACGTATATTGTCGTTGCCCCTGTCCGTCCGTCCACAATTTTTTGGTGGACTCTCTACAGTTCACAATTCTTGTCCGATTTTGACGAAACTTGAAATGTTAGTTTATCCCAGTCCCAAAAGCTCTCGACTGCTTTCGATATTGGCATGTAATGTTGTAATTGATTCACTAATGCATGACTTGTTGAATAAGTAATTCATGCCCCTAGATGATTAAATTCCTTACAGTGTATTTCTAGTTTCTATCATATTTTGTGATCAATAAATAAATCATTATTTTACTCTTTTAGCTCAAAACGTCCAAAGTAAGGAGTACCCTGAATTCATGCAATGAAAAGCTTGAAGGAATTGAATCATCTGCTGTTGACCCAAATGATGTAGAGTGCTTAGATAAAATTGTAATAAATCAGGTAATTTCCATCTTTCTCTTAAAGGGACAATAACACTCTTGCTGGCTTGAAAGCTCCAGAAAATAAATAATATCTCTATCTAAGTACTAGATGTTTAAGTGTCCTACCTGTTGTCTAAATTATCCATTACATCCTATTTTAATAGTCCAGAGGGTTCGAAAATATTTTTAAATCGAAGTTTCATTTGAAAAGGTTTACGTTCGACGTTTCAAACCATTATGTTGAATTTTTCAAAATTTTTAAATTAGGTGTGTTAAGATGAAAATTGTATCATCAATTAATTGAAATATTGTAAAATAGTACAATTTGTTGACCAGAATAAAGATTGGGGCATATTATTCAGTTACAACAAGAGTGGTATTGAGCCTTTAATGGTTGTGACCAAGAATTACATGTATGTTATTCATTGTGATAGACCAACCTGTTTTCAAGCTTTACTTCTTCACTCGCAAATAGATACACCGTCAAAAGTGAAAATGAACGTTTTTGATTTTTGTCTTAAAAATGATTAATTGCTCCACCAATCCTCAGGCATTCAGCAATTCGTCGTGGCATGCTCTTAATGAACTGTCCAGTCACGATTTGGGGCAATCTGACCCACTCCTCTTGCAGTGCGACGGCTAATTCTTGCAGTGTTGTCCGTTGACGTCGACGAACACATCTCCCGATTCTCGAAATTAATTTTTTGAGATTATCGCTGCCCTTTTATTACCAAATTAATGGGGTTTTATTTTTCATTTTTTTTTTAATTTGGCAGTTATGAAAGAAATGCCCGCCATCAAATGAAAAATACATTTTTAAATTGATGTTTGTCAAATTCGATTTTTCGACACACTTCGCTTGCATAACCGACTCTGTGTTTGAGGAATTTAAAAATAAATTATTTATCTTACCACCACTGAAAGACACTGATTACGATATAGCGCTCTCGATAATTCCCGAAGAATGTCAGACAAAATCACACTCAAAATCGGCCATGGCAAAATGACATGATTAACAGAATTTAATTTGGCGTAACTTCAGAACCATAGTGATTCTAAAAATAAATTCACCGCCAACAAGATAATTCAGATGTTGGATTTTTTAATTGATAATATCTTTGTTGAATTTGGAGGGGAAATTTATCAGCTAGTGGTAGGTATCCCCATGGGCACCAACTGTGCACCTTTGCTTGCTGATTCTCTATATATATATTAAAGCACACTAATTACGAAATATCGCTCTCAGAAACTTCATGGTTTCTTTTGCAATTTGTTTGGGGTAAGACGTTATATAAATAATATCAATCTGTCTACCACACAAATTTAACAGATACAAATGCATGTTATTCCACAGGTAGACAGACAGGGCCTCCTTTGAAGGGACTCAGTGAAGGGAACGCGGTTGGTTTAGAGTTTGTCTGACCCCTTTGAATATTTGCGTCTCATCTCCAATGAAAACAATCATGTTGCTCTCATGCTGTTCTCAACCAGAATCAAACATAACCAGAATCAAACATATAACTATTCAAAAAAAGTAGGGGATATTTGATTTTGGGGGCATAATACTAAAATATGCAAATGACTACGAAAAAAGTCACTATAGAACCTAACAGAAGAAACATTTCCAGTTACATGCGACGCCCAAACGCACCAATAGCTACCGCATGGAATGCAGGTGATGCTTGGGATCATCATGGTGGTCCAACCCAAGATTTGCACGACTCTGACTTTGAATGTTACAGTCATTGTGGCATTGAATTCCGGGGTGGAAACATCAGTTTAATTGTTTTAGTGACCAGAAAACAAATTTTGATATGCGTCGGCTTACCCAAAATGAAAGGTTACGTGCCCTTGGCATGCTACAGATCGGCACAACACAGGCGGTTGTGGCGCGGACGATGAATGTTTCTCAGTCTGTCATAAGCAGGCTATGGTCCAGATACCGTGATACACAATCTGTACAGGACAGACCACGCTCAGGTCGACCAAGGGCGACAACTCAAGCCCAGGATCGATTTATCCGTACCTTGGCCTTGAGAAATCGTGTCATCACAGCAAATCAGATCAGCGCTCGTCTTCAAACAGACACTGGTGTGAGAGTGAGTGGCCAGACGATTCGGAATCGACTGCATAGGGGTCACCTTCGCGCCCGACGTCCTCGCGTGATCCCTTGTTTGAGAGATCATCACATTCAGGCAAGACGTCGTTGGTGTAGGGATCGTCAACACTGGGATAATCGACGCTGGAGCAATGTGATGTTTTCAGATGAGTCAAGGTTCACTGTTGATTTTTTGGACAGACGTAGGAGGGTGTGGCGTCGTCGAAACGAGCGCTTCCAAGACGTTAACGTCATCAGACATGATCGATTTTGGGGTGGTTCTGTTATGGTGTGGGGAAGCATCACTGTTGCTGGAAGAACGGCTTTACATGTTGTTGCAGGGCGTGTTACAGGCCAGTACTACCGGGACAACATCTTGGCAGTCCATGTTGTGCCGTTCGCACGACGTCATGGCCGCCGTTTCATCTTCCAGCATGACAACGCAAGATGTCACAGGGCCAGGATCGTTACAGGTTACCTCCAACAACAGAACATCACCACATTACCTTGGCCAGCACTGAGTCCCGACCTCTCCCCCATCGAGCATGTCTGGGACATGCTTGGACAGAGGTTACGTCAACGTCAACAACGTCCTGCCAATGTCCAAGAACTTGCTGCTGCGTTGCAACAGGAATGGGACAATCTGGACCAAAATGACCTTAGACGTCTCATTAGGAGTATGCCACGTCGGATCAATGCTTGTTTGGCAAACAGAGGAGGATTTACCCGTTACTGACTTGGTTGTGATGCTGTGGTAACTTTGCTGTTTGACCCCGGGTATCATTTTACCCTTATAATAGTCAATCTGTGCCTTACTTAGTCTAACGATCATTTGGAATAAATCGATGAATGTGAACTTCATTTCATTTTGTCATTTGTTTCTTCGTCAGTTTCATTAGGTGACTTTAATAACACTTAAAAATCAAATATCCCCTACTTTTTTTGAATAGTATATAAAGAAAGTAGAGAGACTTCAATCTTACTAGAAAAATACTAGATTACCTGAAATGAAATGGGGTTTAAAGACAACGTCCTACTGGTCAGCTGCGACTGGTCTAATGCATTGTGCTAAGTGAAAATGTTTGTCTGGGCAGCGACACTATGGCCTACTCTCATACCGAATTCAAACTGCCAAGAGAACTTTTATGTGTACGCCAATGTGTACATTGGATCTCAGGGGAAACCACTCTGCAAAATCAAGATGAGCTTTCTCGGTCAACCCCAAGAGATAACCTGTGGCCTCCATGCTAGTGTGCCAGCACCTAATTTACTCAGTCACCATGGCCGTCTTCTAATTACTGCGACAGTGAAACCATGTGACAAACAAGGATTATTAAGATAGACTTTTACGGCTTGGTAGTTCCTTGGGATTAAAACTTTTGATACATATAGATACATTAGTTTCAATTTAATATCACACAGTTTGTATATATGGTAAGGTAGCTTTAATCGTAAATTACATATCATGTATTTATTTTTTCACTTTAAATATTGGATGTATATGCAAATCACCCAGAAAAAGATCATGTAATAACAAAAGAAATTATAAAAGAAAAAAATTGAAGAAGAAATGGCTGGAAAAAATGATGATAGAGCAGCTTTTTCTTGGTGGGTAACTATTCAATTCTAATAGAAAAGATTGTTATGCTATTTTGAAATCTAAAATTCAGTTTAGTATAGTAAAACTGTACACGTCATGTATGAGCAGAGACAGAATCTTAGTTATATGTAGATATCACTGTCTCATCTGTGGCAAAGCAAACCAACACATGAAACAAAACAAATGTAATTAAATTAACATTTTTTTAATTAATCAAAACTGTCTAGTCAATTTAAGCCAACTAATACATTGCCATTTTTTTTTCAGTTACCCACCTCGGAAGATCAAGTTGGAAAGGGCTATTGATATTGTGGAGACGTTTTCTCACAGATCTTGCTTATCAGACAAAGACTATGTAAGTACCATGCATATTTGCTTTTTAAATCAGGAACTGGTTCTATACACTTGGTGGGGGGGGGGGGGTGGATGGACGTTAAACCCCATTTCTCTCTCTCTCTCCTAAATATTGAGATTTTTGTTTACTTTTAAACTGCATATATTCAAGGTATCAGGAGCTTTTTATGGCTCCCGTACAATTTTATAAACATGAAGGACTGTACCTTTTGAATATTAAGCCATCAAATTATTTTATAATTTTGAAAATGAAATGAAATGGGGTTTAACATCCTACTGTTTTGCTCATAAATTGGGCTAATGAAGACGGGCATACGTCATACAGTGTGCTATGAAGGGAATTTTGCCCGGGCAGCGGCGCTACAGCCTACTCTTATAACGAATTCCAATTGCCAAGGAATCTTTTACGTGCACGCCAATGTGTACACGGGACCTCGGTTTTTCGTCCCATCCGAACGACTAGACAGCTGTCCTTGTCAGGTCCTCCGTCCTGTATCACTGACAAGGGGAAAACACGCAAAATGTAAGTAACATATATATTTGTATTTTTAATCAGGAAGTACTTCTATACACTTGCTTGGTAATCTAGTTATTCTTCTTGGGGCAATGCCTAGGACTCTGCTGTTTCAAGTACTTGGCATGCTTGATTTTTGCCAATCACATCCATTGATTTCCTTCAAGTTGCGATAGGCCCTACATGTATGTGTATTTTTTACAGTAAATAGCAGTAAAATAATGATGGACAGTATTTTACTTTCAAATAGATTTCAGTAGATTTTAAAGGGTAATATCCAATTTGTTGTCAATGGAAATAAAATAAGAATGGGTCCAAAAATAATTAGACATTGCCAAGTAAATAGGTGCTGCCATGATGTAGTAGGGAATCTGGATTTGCAGACAATACATGTATGAAAGGGTGAATAGTTGACCTATTATGAGACTTCAGTCCCAAATCTCAAGACTTTTTTCTGACTTCTAACTCATTTGATTTGAGCATAATAATCTGCCTGGGTCTGTAACTGGACAAGACACAATAAGCGTTACGCAAAGTTGAAACCAAATAGAGACTCGGTCTCGATGTGGCAAAATAAATTGTTTATTTAAACGTTGTGAACCATAGAAAGTATTCTTATCTCCTACTTTTTATTTTTTAGGCTGGAACACCATTGAAAGAGTATTTGCTGTATGATAACAACAAGAAAACCCAAGCATCAATTTATTTTATACTTCTGGGAAAGAATGCATTTGACCCAATTTTTAAATATTTATTTTTTGTTATTAATGTTAAATTTTCTTCCAAAACACAATTAGATTTTAATTCTCTTCAGAAATGTATGTATAATATAGCAAGTAAAGTGGCATATAAATCACTTAGAATTTGGTCAGAAATCATAAAGTATTTAATAGGCATTACTAGAAACCAAATGTAGATCAAATACACCCAGAATTACAAAAAACCTTGACCTACATAAAGGTGACTTTCCCTTGCTTATGAAATGAAATACGGTTTAGTATCCTACTTTTCTGTGTTCTTAGAGTGATTCTGCCCTACACCCTACTCTTATATAAAATATTTCAACTGTCAAGGGTTCTTTAACGGGAACCCGGGGGGGGGGGGGGGGGCAATGATTAACACGCACACATTTGATCAGGAAGTCTGTCATTGAGTGGGATCACGGTGGCTAAGTGGGTAAGGCGCTGGCTCGCTAGCCTGGAGGTCGGGTGTTCGATCCCTGCATTGGCCGAGAAAGTTCATCCAGATTTTCCGGCGTGGTTCCCCCTTGTCAGTGATGCAGAACGGAGGGCCTGACAAGGACAGCTGTCTAGTCATTCGGATGAGACGAAAAACCGAGGTCCCGTGTACACATTGGCGTGCACGTAATAGATCCCTTGACAGTTGGAATTCGATATAAGAGTAGGCCGTAGTGCCGCTGTCCGGGCAAAATTACCCTCATAGCACACTGTATGGCGTATGCCCGTCTTCATTAGCCCAGTTCGGAGCAAAACAGTAGGACGTTAAACCCCATTTCATTTCATTTCATTTCATTTCTGTCATTGAGTCAAATAATTCAATTGTCAAGGCTTCTTCTAAGTGAACGCAGTGGGGATGGTTTCGATTCCGGGAATGGGGGAGGGGGTGGTGGATGACCGAATGGTAAGCACGTGCGTGCTGTATCATACGGCCTGTCATTGAGTCAACTGGCGTGGTTTCGAATCCCCGGTTGTACGTGACAAGGAGTAGGGTCGCCTGTCCAATCTTGTGGGTTTTCTCCGGGACCTCCGGTTTCCTCCCACTGCTAAAGACCCCTATGCGCAACGAATTATTGAAATAAAATTAAACCATATGTTAATCCCGAAATGACCTAGTTTGTGTCAAGTGGACGTTAAACCCCATTTCTCTCTCTCTCTCTTTCGATTCCCGGCTTGTACCCAATTATCCCTTGCCATATCCAAGACTACCGACAAGTGGGAACTATGCCGGAAAATGCAGTTGAAATTTCTCGGCCAACACCTTATACTCACTGAACCACTGTGGCTTATGACTTGTGATTGTATATAAATTTTGTACAAATTTTTTGGTGTGTAGAATTATTTTTGTTAGTTACGTGATCTCGTTTGGTCGAGATTTGGTAAGTTGACATGCGCACTGCCTGTTTTGCTCAGTGTATCCGGTTCCGGTCTGAAATTTTTTTTAATCAACAGTCTGTGGGTGACATTTTCAATTTCGCTCCTGTGTTACCGGAAAAGAGCTTTGCTCTATATTAAACATATTTAACTTGCATTCGCTTTTAAAGGAGCTAAATCGCTAATATTTGGGACCTAGAAATTGTCACAAATGGGTCGCACTAACAGCGACATTTGCTTCGGGCATATTTGTTTCATCAGTGACACGTCTGGTGTCATGTGAATGCAACGAAAACAGCCTGATTGATTGATTTGTTGATTGGAGTTCAGATGTCTTCATTAAAATGGACCACTTTCAGGTCCACGGCCTGGCAAGACAACGCGTTTTCCGGCTTGAAATTTCTATAAATTTTCTGGGGGAGACAGGCCCCCGACGGTGCGTTTCACGACTTCGGCCGTGACCTTTAAGAGAGGTCGAAAACCATTTAAAAGACATAGTAAAAGTCATATCTTACGAGATTATCGCTGGTCTTGTCGGAAAATGCCATTTTAAATTTGACAGGCATTTTGAAAGAAATGCCCGGCGCCATACATTTGAAAAATACATTTTTTGATTTTTGTCAAATTCGTTTTTCGGCATATTTCGCCTCTATTTATTCCCCCACCACTAAAACACACTGATTACGAAATATCGCTCTCCGAAACTTCCTGGTTTCTTTTGCAATGGGGTTGTCCGCTCGCGCACTGATTCTCAGGTGGCGCCACTGGATTATGGGTTACTCTTTCACAGCAGACGGCAAAATCATGGCGGAAAATAATTACGGTCGATTTACTGTTGGAAAATTGAAAGACGAGTTAGCTAAACGAGGTGCAAGGACAACGGGCAGAAAAGAGGCACTTATTGAGAGGTAAGTGTCATCGAGTAAACATTAGCCTATAATAACCTAATTAAGCCCTGTTCCCATTCCAGCGACTGCCTTATGTTCGTGCGCTTCGCCATAGATAATTAGGCCTATTATACGTTGTTATTATCTATCATCTATGGCTTCACAAACCTTCGACCCACTTTCAAGTTTATAAGCGGTTCGGACGTTCATTCGTCGGCATTTAGAAACAAACAAATTACACCCGTAGGTATAGGTACTGATTTGGCATTACTCACATTGTCGGTAGTGTAATTTATTGATTTTCACACAGGTCGTAGCTACTCGAGCTAGGCCTTAGCCTATCTTATCTATCTAGGCCTATAGCATATCAACTAGCCTAGGCAAGCCCACAAAAGTTTTAAATCTGAATAGGCCTAATTCATTAACTAGGCCTATTTTAACTAACAATAACATGGAAGTTATTACACTGACTCAGACTCTCAGAGACACTGTTGTCAGTGTATATCTTAGCTTGAAATAAGAAAACTTAGCCTATAGGCCTAGTATTCTGTTGTGTCACAGTATCCTGGATTTCTGCATTCAGCTTGATGAGAGATTTAATATAGTCCTAACACTCCTGAAGTACAATTATTTGTGTATGCATGTAGATAGCATGCTGATTACCGTATATTATTATTAATATTATATAGATAGGCCTATTATTATAAACTTTGTTCTAAATTCCAAGTGGTGATTGACTTGCTTTGTGGTGTTTATAGAAGCCTTGTGTTCTATATTAAATTTTAAGACAATGTATATTATGTGTTCTAGTAAAATTAATAATATTCTTATTTTTTTAAGGTTAGATGCCTATGATAAAAATGATAACTTTAGAAATCCTGTTATCCATCTTCCTGAGTACACAATTCCACAGTGGCCTAGTTCAGGATTTCGACAACTTGTATCTGAACACAGATCAACGTTACCAAAAGTTGATAGATGTCAAATAGATGGTTATTTTAAATACAGAATGGTATCTGATCATGGGATGGCCAATGATTTAAAAGCACTGCAGAAAGGAGAGAAGTTGATGGAAAGTGATCGAGTTTCTGCATGCAGTTTATGTGAAATAGATACTTGTATTTACTTTACAGGAATTGTTGCTGCTGCAATGAAAAAGAAGGTAATTTGTGAGCTTAAATCTTTATTTATGTTATAATTTAATAGGGAGAACTGGTGAGCTGATCAGGGAATTTTGTTTCCTGTTTTATTGGCTAGATATTAAAAGCCTATCTCTGTCAATCATGCCAATCACATATCTGCATCGCATTTTTAGTAAACAGCAATTAGATTTCTGGTAAAAAAAAAAATGATCAGATATTCTGAAATTACTCCTGATGTATTTCTTATGACCATTGATAGAGATATTCTTCTTTGCAAGAGATACTTTATTACTTTTATTGTATGTATACATGTATAGATTGATTAGTAGACTTACAGGCTGCAGCTCATGTAAAGGAATCATTCAATTTCCTAAATATAATATCTGGCACATCATTATTGAATATCCATATAGTATTAAGAAAATCGGCTCAAATGAAACTTATGTATTTTATTACAGTTAACTTACAACTATAAACTCAGCGTTGAAAAAAGTAGTGGTGAAATTGTAAATAGTCACTGTGAATGTCCTGCTGGTAAAGGCCCACATGGAACCTGCAAACATCTGGCTGCAGTTTTACTGATGCTGGTTAAATTCATTGAAGATGGGCAGTGTAAAATCAAGAGAAGTTGTACTGAGAATTTGCAATCTTTCCACATGCCAAAAAGGCAATATGAAGGTAAGAGAATATGTTAAGATACAAAATTTTCATTTCCCTCTTAGTCAAGGAATCTGGGACAGAGTTAGGGGTTTTATTTTTACTTACATGTATGTCCTTGGTTGACAATGTAATTCCTTAGCAATAGCATGTCCTTGTCTTAAGCTATCTATTTAAGCTAAATCGGCCTATTGAAGGTCTTTTTTCAGACCTAGGTCTTTTTTCAGACCTTAGATGTAATATAAATTATTAATTAGACATTAATTAACTACCAAGATCAACACAATGAATCATGAATGCCATGATTGCCATCAGATATCTCTGATATTAAATAGATTTAAATACTTTTGCGATTTATTATTGTAACAATGACAATCAGAGCTAGACTCTCAATGTGTCGCCAATCGGCAGGCTCCGAGTGAAGTAATTTGACTGAAATTTTCAACATATTCCCTTTTCATTATCTATTTGTTAACTATTATATCAAGAACTGTCGGCTCTTTATCTAATCTTACCTAATGTCAATGCCCCTTTAATAAAATTTTGATTTATTTTCAGGATCCCCGGTAAAATCAGAGAATTTCCCTGCATCAAAACAACCTTGTTTAGATGATCCACGTCCTTCAGCGCATCGCAACAAGCCTGGCTTTGAAGCTGATGTTAGGAACCGTGTGTACAACTACTGCTCTACAGAACAAACTGATTTAACGGTCAAATTTTTATATCCCAAAGCTGATATTTTAACTGCAGTTAAAGACCATGATTATTTAATGTTACCATTTACGCAATATTGGGTTGACAGTTATTTTCAGATAAAAGAGGCTGAAGCAATAAAGCTAGAGGCAGCTACAAGGAGACAAAGTTTGTGTTTAAAATGGCATGATGCCAGGGAGTGGCGTTTGACTGCATCTCGATTTGGGGATGTTATGCATATGACTGCAAGACGAAATATTGACAAACTTTGTGAAAGTATTTGTTTTCCACCTGTTCTTAGTGGCCCGCCTGTAATACATGGTCTTAAATTTGAAACTGTTGCATGCAAATCTTTCGAAGAAAAGACGGGTTTCATTGTGTCTAAATGTGGAGTTTTTGTGCACCCAAGTTATCCGTATCTTGGTGCAACTCCTGATGGAGTAATTGATGATAATAAAATAATTGAAATTAAATGTCCATATACAGGAAGGGATTTAAATATTGCTCCGGGAAAATAATTCCCTTATCTGGAATATTTGGATGGTAGCAGCAAAGTCAGGCTTTCTAGAAACAGTCGATATTATTCTCAGGTACAAGGACAGCTTTATTTATCTAAACACCAGTTATGTTTTTTTATAATATTTACACATAAAGATCTTTATATAGAAAAAATAGAAATTGACAATGATTATTGTAAAGGTTCTTTATTGCCTAAGCTTGAATTATTTTATCATAAATATTTAAGACCTTATATTGCATCTCATTTATAATTATAACAATGGTGATATGTACAATTACAACAGTTCTGTAAAACAAAATTAATCAATTTGATATCAGATTAAACAAGACCTTATATAAAGCATCCCTTTTATAACAACGGTGATATTTACAATTTCTACTAAATCACTACTGGGCTAAATCAAATGCCTTCTTATGTACATCACATATTTCCATTGACTAAGTATATGTCATGTTGTTTATAGGAATGTATAATTATCCTGTTTCACTTAAAAGTGTCAGGCTTACATTGGTGATAAATTAGCCTACAGAGTCGGTGGGGGGTGGTGGCTGGAGTGCAAAATATTTATATGCAATAATTAAATAGTCTTTTTTCATGTTTTTTTATTTTTAAATAAAAACGTGTCATGCAGTGCTTTTCAGGTTACACAGGATTGTCTGAGAACCAGAATATTTTTTGTAAGGCCTTATAACAATGGTGTTATGTACAATATATAAAAATTAGAACACGACTATTATATTGATAAACAAAGGTTGCATGGTACTTGTCCGCTTCCACAGAAGTGTTATCTCTTGAAAGTTTTTAATAAGAGATTTTCTCTTTTAATAGCCGCTACCATCATTCATGGCAAGTTATATATACATTACTCAAGTGTGCTACATTTACCTATAATTGCAGGTCTTTCTTTTGGCCTTAAATGTTATAATAAATTATCAGACATTTATTAACGTACACAATCAATGCACACATCTTGTCGAAACTACAGACATTGACAACTTGGCTTACAATAAAGTAAGTTGAATAAAATTTTCAATATATTCATTTTGCATTATCTATTTTTGAACTATCATAGCAAGAACAATCGGCTCTTATCTAAATTTTACATAATGTATTTTTAAGAGACTTGTACAATGCAAAGATTGTGTACTATTGTTTTTATTAATATAGGTATATGTTATGTTATATAAAAGGCTTTATTTATGATATTAAATACATGTAGTTACAGTAATAAACACACTATTATATTACAGGCCTACTAGATTTCTTTGTTTGATCTATTGGGGGGGATGTGATTAGGCAAGTCTGTTGACAATTGATGGACGGAAATTTGATAGCATATAGCATACAAATACAATTCTTGAACCAAGAGCTCGTTTGCTGGCAGGCAGATCTTTTTTCAAAATTTTGTAGGTTTTGCCTAAACCTATCACTCTTTCGACATGAATTCTCTTTGAAGCAATTCGACGATCATGTATGACTTGTTCAGGTTCTAGTTGCGACTTGCCTTTCAACATTGTTGGGGTGTTGACAAAAACATTTTTGGATGCAAAGATATCCTGGACCATAATACCCCGGTCAGCCATTATGCTATCCTTTGATTCAAACATACCATTATTATTGACTAGTGTGGATCGTTCAATTATTTGTCTGTCACTAGCTGATCCGCCATAACTGTCACTGATATATACTATTCAAAAAAAGTAGGGGATATTTGATTTTTAAGTGTTATTAAAGTCACCTAATGAAACTGACGAAGAAACAAATGACAAAATGAAATGAAGTTCACATTCATCGATTTATTCCAAATGATCGTTAGACTAAGTAAGGCACAGACTGGCCATTATAAGGGTAAAATGATACCCGGGGTCAAACAGCAAAGTTACCACAGCATCACAACCAAGTCAGTAACGGGTAAATCCTCCTCTGTTTGCCAAACAAGCATTGATCCGACGTGGCATACTCCTAATGAGAAGTCTAAGGTCATTTTGGTCCAGATTGTCCCATTCCTGTTGCAACGCAGCAGCAAGTTCTTGGACATTGGCAGGACGTTGTTGACGTTGACGTAACCTCTGTCCAAGCATGTCCCAGACATGCTCGATGGGGGAGAGGTCGGGACTCAGTGCTGGCCAAGGTAATGTGGTGATGTTCTGTTGTTGGAGGTAACCTGTAACGATCCTGGCCCTGTGACATCTTGCGTTGTCATCCTGGAAGATGAAACGGCGGCCATGACGTCGTGCGAAGGGCACAACATGGACTGCCAAGATGTTGTCCCGGTAGTACTGGCCTGTAACACGCCCTGCAACAACATGTAAAGCCGTTCTTCCAGCAACAGTGATGCCTCCCCACACCATAACAGAACCACCCCCAAATCGATCATGTCTGATGACGTTAACGTCTTGGAAGCGCTCGTTTCGACGACGCCACACCCTCCTACGTCTGTCCAAAAAATCAACAGTGAACCTTGACTCATCTGAAAACATCACATTGCTCCAGCGTCGATTATCTTAGTGTTGACGATCCCTACACCAACGACGTCTTGCCTGAATGTGATGATCTCTCAAACAAGGGATCACGCGAGGACGTCGGGCGCGAAGGTGACCCCTATGCAGTCGATTCCGAATCGTCTGGCCACTCACTCTCACACCAGTGTCTGTTTGAAGACGAGCGCTGATCTGATTTGCTGTGATGACACGATTTCTCAAGGCCAAGGTACGGATAAATCGATCCTGGGCTTGAGTTGTCGCCCTTGGTCGACCTGAGCGTGGTCTGTCCTGTACAGATTGTGTATCACGGTATCTGGACCATAGCCTGCTTATGACAGACTGAGAAACATTCATCGTCCGCGCCACAACCGCCTGTGTTGTGCCGATCTGTAGCATGCCAAGGGCACGTAACCTTTCATTTTGGGTAAGCCGACGCATATCAAAATTTGTTTTCTGGTCACTAAAACAATTAAACTGATGTTTCCACCCTGGAATTCAATGCCACAATGACTGTAACATTCAAAATCAGAGTCGTGCAAATCTTGGGTTGGACCCCCATGATGATCCCAAGCATCACCTGCATTCCATGCGGTAGCTATTGGTGCGTTTGGGCGTCACATGTAACTGGAAATGTTTCTTCTGTTAGGTTCTATAGTGACTTTTTTCGTAGTCATTTGCATATTTTAGTATTATGCCCCCAACATCAAATATCCCCTACTTTTTTTGAATAGTATATGATACAAGTCCTCGAGGTGAACAACCGATTATGGTTTTCAGTGTGTTTTTATTTTTGTATGTAGAAAATGTCATACTTTGGGCATCAACATTCTGTGGCTTTGAAATAGGAATTTCTGTGGCGTCTAGTACTACACGTGTTGTAGGAAATGCAGATTTAAACTTACTAGGCATATTCTCTTGCACAATAGATTTTTCGGGCCAAATATTGATTTCTTTTAATTGGAAATATAAAAAATTGATCCATACATTAATTAGTTGTGAAACGGTACTTTCACTGACTTTGAAAAAAATACTGAGTTCCAAATCTTCCTTGGCTTGTCTTAATTTCATGAGAGTTAAGAAAAGTTGATCCTTAGGTTCCAACAAAGAACATTTATAATTTAAATCAAAAACTACAGGGCCAAGAAGATTAAAGAAAAACATAAAATGAGCATACCCAGCGGGCACGCAACGTTGTTACAACATTGTGACAACGTCAATATTGGTCGTGACGTTGTACAACGTGTTTTCGACCAATATTCGACGTTGTATTTACGTCATATACAGGTTGTTGACACAACGTTGTCACAACGTCATCAAAACGTTATCAAAACGTCATATACAGGTTGTTGTCACAACGTTGTCACAACATTGTCACAACGTCATCAAGACGTTATTCTAACGTCATATACAGGTTGTTGTCACAACGTTGTCACAACGTTATCAAAACGTCATATACAGGTTGTCGTCACGGCGTTGTTACAACGTTGTTACAACGTTGTCACAACGTTGTAACAACGTCTTCAAAACGTTATCAAAACGTCATATACAGGTTGTTGTCACAACGTTGTCACAACGTCATCAAAACGTTATTCAAACGTCATATACAGGTTGTTGTCACAACGTTATCAAAACGTCATATACATGTTGTTGTCAGCGGTTTTACAACTTTGTCACAACGTTGTCACAACGTTGTCACAACGTTATCAAAACGTCATATACAGGTTGTTGTCACGGCGTTGTTACAACGTGGTCACAACGTTGTCACAACGTCTTCAAAACATTATCAAAACGTCATATACAGGTTGTTGTCACAACGTTGTCACAACGTTATCAAAACTTCATATACAGGTTGTTGTCACAACGTTGTTAAAACGTTGTCACAACATTGTCATAACGTTATCGAAACGTCATATATAGCAGTTCGAACCTTGACCTCTGATTGTCAAACCAAGGTCACCACGAGACTCCCAGGGGTCAATTTAGTTTAAATAGCCACGACCTCAAGGTCGTCGGATCCGATTTGGGATTGGCGAGTTATCTGCCCTTAGACCACACCGCTGTAATGCTCAGCTATTTCACTTTCTAGGGAAATTTGCCCCAAAAATGTCTTCCGATCGCCCCAGGGTTTGGTGACCCAATAGACTGACCCAACATTTGTTCTTCATTTTTTAAAATCGCCAACCAAAAGTCGTGACCTTGACCCGCTAGGGGCCCCGGAAGTATTTTGGTTTTTGAACCCTAGGGGCCTATCTAATAAAGTCAGGACCACTGGACCTTGACCTTCCAAAATGTCATCTTGGTCCACATGACCCCGGTAGGTCAAGGTCATCTGAAAGGGTCAAGGTCACCAAAATATCTACAGCATCACAACCAAGTCAGTAACGGGTAAATCCTCCTCTGTTTGCCAAACAAGCATTGATCCGACGTGGCATACTCCTAATGAGAAGTCTAAGGTCATTTTGGTCCAGATTGTCCCATTCCTGTTGCAACGCAGCAGCAAGTTCTTGGACATTGGCAGGACGTTGTTGACGTTGACGTAACCTCTGTCCAAGCATGTCCCAGACATGCTCGATGGGGGAGAGGTCGGGACTCAGTGCTGGCCAAGGTAATGTGGTGATGTTCTGTTGTTGGAGGTAACCTGTAACGATCCTGGCCCTGTGACATCTTGCGTTGTCATCCTGGAAGATGAAACGGCGGCCATGACGTCGTGCGAAGGGCACAACATGGACTGCCAAGATGTTGTCCCGGTAGTACTGGCCTGTAACACGCCCTGCAACAACATGTAAAGCCGTTCTTCCAGCAACAGTGATGCCTCCCCACACCAAAACAGAACCACCCCCAAATCGATCATGTCTGATGACGTTAACGTCTTGGAAGCGCTCGTTTCGACGACGCCACACCCTCCTACGTCTGTCCAAAAAATCAACAGTGAACCTTGACTCATCTGAAAACATCACATTGCTCCAGCGTCGATTATCTTAGTGTTGACGATCCCTACACCAACGACGTCTTGCCTGAATGTGATGATCTCTCAAACAAGGGATCACGCGAGGACGTCGGGCGCGAAGGTGACCCCTATGCAGTCGATTCCGAATCGTCTGGCCACTCACTCTCACACCAGTGTCTGTTTGAAGACGAGCGCTGATCTGATTTGCTGTGATGACACGATTTCTCAAGGCCAAGGTACGGATAAATCGATCCTGGGCTTGAGTTGTCGCCCTTGGTCGACCTGAGCGTGGTCTGTCCTGTACAGATTGTGTATCACGGTATCTGGACCATAGCCTGCTTATGACAGACTGAGAAACATTCATCGTCCGCGCCACAACCGCCTGTGTTGTGCCGATCTGTAGCATGCCAAGGGCACGTAACCTTTCATTTTGGGTAAGCCGACGCATATCAAAATTTGTTTTCTGGTCACTAAAACAATTAAACTGATGTTTCCACCCTGGAATTCAATGCCACAATGACTGTAACATTCAAAGTCAGAGTCGTGCAAATCTTGGGTTGGACCCCCATGATGATCCCAAGCATCACCTGCATTCCATGCGGTAGCTATTGGTGCGTTTGGGCGTCACATGTAACTGGAAATGTTTCTTCTGTTAGGTTCTATAGTGACTTTTTTCGTAGTCATTTGCATATTTTAGTATTATGCCCCCAACATCAAATATCCCCTACTTTTTTTGAATAGTATATGATACAAGTCCTCGAGGTGAACAACCGATTATGGTTTTCAGTGTGTTTTTATTTTTGTATGTAGAAAATGTCATAC